TTGGATAAGGCCTCTGAAACTAATTTAACTTCAATCTTGCTTTTCGAACTACAATGTGTCTTTGTATGCCCATTACATAAAACCTAAAAATCTATGCCTGGTACTATTCTTTAGATGATAATAATATCCAAATATGCTAATGAACAAATCAAGCAATTAGAAACCACACTGGCTGGTCTGTCGATTTCTCCAGACAAATCACAGTCATCTCATCATCCTACTTAGAGTATACTAGTCCGTGCATGTCAACTTGCCAGCTTCAGATGATCTGAACTAATTAGACTGTATGAGATGAATTTCTCAGGGTACATCGTTGATCAGCTCGACCCCAAATGAGCAGTTTAAATCCCTCTGATTTGGTTGGTTGGCGAAATACTACAGATCAGCCTGAATGCTTTCTAACTACTTAGTTTGTTCAGCAGTAGTATCTTTCGCTAGTTCACAACACTTTCGTGTCAGAGATGTCACCTTATGATCTCGACTGACAGGTGGTTTCCAGAGGAAACCCTATTGACACTACAGTTGAGCAGCTGAAAAACTGCTCAAAGCTGACAACGTGAATTGTGCACTTTCAAGTCGTTTGCAAATAGATCACCTTCCATGATTCCATTAGGTTTATGGAGATTTATTTATCCATTTCAGGTTGATATTCATCATAAAATGACATCAGTTGAAGCACTGCACACCTGTTTCGTCCTATTATGAGACTCCTCAGTATACATGACCCCCCAAGGCTCGAGCCGAAGACCTTCAGGTCCCGCGGCCAGCGCGTCATGACTGGACCACTGTCACTTCGACGCAGTGCTGACCGTGAAACACGAGTTCATCCCCTGGCCTAACGGGATTATTTGCGCACACTGCTGAGGAGGCTGACACAAGGACGAAATAGCTGTACAATGTTCCGGCATTCCCAATGTTTCTCTAACTGATGTCAGTCCACGATAAATACCAACCTAAAATCAATAAGTGAACCCCCACAAACCTCGAAATTGAATTCCACAACAAATTAGTCTACTCGCTACAGTATTATTTACAAACAGAATTTATTGCTCGTAATCATACCCGCATGGTTGAGGAAAACCTCTTATTCATTCTGACCACTCCCTTTTTTCTCTGTAATGTCAATTTGATGAACAATTTATATATAGAAATTTTGATCAACAAAGAAAAAGGTCATAGAGTTTATCGAGTAAATTGATTTTTACAACAAAGAAAAGGTCAAACTTTAATTCATCAGGTCAGAGTTCATAAACAAAGTTCAGATTGCTACCCTGGATTGAACGCTGTGTCAGAACACACATATACCGGTAAATTAACTTAAATTAACAGAAAACAGGCTGATTTCTTTTCTAGATGTCTGATTATGTAGTAGGTTAAATGAAACAGCGAATTTCTCATCAGTTAACCAGTGAATATGAAAGGTAGTACAAGTTTTAGCCAACTTTATGAAAATGACATGTACTTAGACAACACAATATTCATGGAAACTGATTGCCAACTCGAAGAACAAGACTATATCTTCTGCATACTAATGTCCCTCTTTAATTGCTAGGTTCCTAGACCACTCTTGTTAAATAAGTTTGCCCTTGCTCGTACTGAGCCATGGGGTTACAAAATGGTTGTATTCTTAATATAAGAGTATTCTTATTATTCGGAAAGGAAACAGTATACTTTCTATCAAGGGAAGTGCTCGACTTCATTGCTTACAGAGGCTGGTATGCCTCAAGGTGATGTACTTTCTCCCTTTCTGTTTTCGTTCTTTCTGCACAATTTACCTTATTCTGGTGAAACTAATTTTATTCAGTATGCTGATGAACTGACGGTGTCTATTCCAGTTAACTCTCACTTAGATTGCTCTAAATTAAATAGATTATTGTCTGTAGTTGATCAATGGTCTCAAGTTAAACCCTTCTAAGTGTGAGACTGTTAATTTTAGCCTCAGGCGAAGTAAACAAGACTTGTGTGAGCTGCTTAAGTCCGATGACGTCTATTGGATTGATGTTAGTTCTGCAGAAAGCAAGTCAAGTGTCAACTATCTTGGATTGAGATTTAATTCTGATCTTTATTGGTCGTCTCATATCTTGTTGACTTCCAAGAAAATCATTCGTTTAACGCATTATATAAAGAAACTGAGGCTCTGTGTTATAACTCAACCTCTTCTTTTACAATGTATTAATTCCTACATTTTACCTATTCTTTTATATTGTTCCCCATTGATTGATCTTTACTGGTCTCCTAAAAAAGACAACGTTATTTTGCATAGGGCTTTGAAAGCCGTCAGTAAGGTGAGTGGTATACCTCTGGTTCAGCTGATTAACACTGTAGTTGACAGACATTTAAATTCCAACAAGCAACTAGCTACAATAATCTTAACTGACACTGAAAAACCACTTCATTCACAGCCCTTTCCTTCATCTCCTGTCAGGGAGGAAAAGAAGAAACTAAATAAGACTGTACGCTTGTACACCCAAGTATAAGAATTTGACTGTACCTTACCTAGCACGCACATTATGTGAGGAGAAGCGAGTTAGAACAGAAATCATATATCAACTTTGTAACAGTTAAAAATCTCATTTCAATAATTTAACTAGTTATGTAAAATTGTCTCGTTATCAATATTCTTGACGTTACTTAAATTTTGAGGGAGTTGTGGAGATTTGGAAATATTTCAAGTTGTTATTCATCGTAGACTGACATCAGTTGGAGGAACAAAGGAAACTTGAGAGCACTGGACAGCTGTTTCGTCCTAGTATGGGACTCCTCAGCAGTGCGCTCCCATGACCCTGCCAGGGATCGAACCCGCAATTCGAAATGTTGTAAAGGAGGATAATGTATGCGCATGTATTTTGTTGTTGTTGCAATGTATCTTGCTGAGAATTCCAAATTGTACCACAAATTGTTCGGAATAAAGTGAATTATTATTATGTATGTATCACAAGCATAGAACTATCAGTGTAAGTACGCCACTTTGTTGAAGAGGATTTATTTTCTATCATTCTACCTTATACTAATTTCCTTATCATCTCCAAAATGTTAACAAACTTCTAATGAACATCTCTTCCTAAAACATAATTCCAGATGACAGCCCTGTGTAACAAGACAAAACTAATGTAATCCAATTCCCCTAACATGACACGTCGAAATACACGACAACTCGGCTTGCCCAATACATGTTCAAGCCATGTTCACAACGTCATCAATCGAATTGTCTTGTTTGCTTAATACCTTTCGCCTGACGTCAACATTGCTCACATAGTGAAGCTACAAAACGAAAGCAATTCAAAACCATGCAATCGCTCCACATCTTCCACTTTTAACAGCCAAGTATCATCCTGAGTTAAAAATCGAAGGCAAACGTAGCGTCGAGAAATATTATCTATCATATAGAAAGTGTACACTGTTAAGGATATGGGGAATGCATTTATGCGCCGAATGAAACAAGACTTAATCGAAGTTATGACACCACTTAGTATTTCAGGTAGATTAGTTAGTTCAATAATATTCTCTTCCGACGGTAATGAGCAATTCTCAGTTTATCGTATCTTATAATGCCCTTTAATCAGATCCCTAACCGGAGTCGCAGACGGTATTAATGATCTAGGTTCAATGAAGTTAATGTTTCCAAGTAGATCGTTCTCGGTGTATCCAAACAATTTGGGTTTCGTTTAGTAGTAAGTATTACAATTTATAATTTGAACCTCCCATTAAAAACTCGGATAACCTGGGGGTAGTAACTTTTGTCGGCCTATGCGATCACCGTAAGGAATAAAGTTTTGAAGTCACCTGAAATATTCATCTTTTGTCAATAACTGTTTTATGCAGCTTAGTTTGTCTTCTCGTCAAGGTAAGAAGATGGATTCATTTCTTATATAATTCGACTTAATATACTGATCAAAATGAACTAAACTTTTGATAAGGAAACTTAAAACAATGAAAACTTCATATAAGTTGACCAAAGTGTTCGACTATTTTGCAAAATGGTTATCAAACTAGACTACTTATCATCATAGTAGACTTTCATTGATGTTTGGTGGTTCCCCTAGAGATCTGAGGCTTCATCATCCAATATTGCATTGGAAAACGTAAACCACGTTAGTCATGCAGTGATTAACCTCCTGTAGGAATGGATGATATACCATAATGTATGTTTCCTGCCAATCACCTAACAGAAGAATTTTAGATTTTAGTTCACGCTGAAAATGCAAATCCAATATACAAGCTGAGGTATAAATAGACTGATAAACTTTATCCTTAAAATGTTGGTTGGGATTTCACGAGAAATTCATCAAAACACGAACAGAAGTCAACATCACCAAGATGATTGATATACTATCTTTGTACAATAGCATATTGGTTCTCGTTGTTTTCAATCCATTTTTTCTTTGAAAAAAAGTCAATATCTGATGATTTTATTTCTATTCGTTCATGAATTATTTCAGAAGGTGACAGATGAACGCACGAAATGAAACGCAGTCAGCAACCTTATACCGATTCATGCAGTAGGCAGTGGACCTCACACCTATTGTATGCGTGGGCTAGTGATACCACCTGATTTCCAAAACTTTGGTTAGTGTAACAGGGTTCCAACTAGTCACCCAATAGTTAAAAGTCCACTCTGTACACCTTAGAGTCACAGCTTCACTCTAAAATATTACTTACTACTAAGTCTACTCATGCTATCTTAGTTCCTTCGTGTAGTTAATGTAGTTAATCATTGCAAAAAACTTGCAAACTATTGCAAGCTCCGCAAACTAACTTCAGCACTGATAACAGTAATACGCTTCGTAATGAAGCCTAAGCCCAATAGCTTAATAAAGAAAATTACACTTCTTAGCATTTTTTTTCATATTTACACATTTATTTTTGTTATTTCGCATTTAAAATTAAATATATGAAAGTGATTTAAGAGGAGTAGAAACTCACAAAAATGCCTTCTTATGTTTTGGGTTTTTCGGTTTTTTTTGGAAGTAGTACTGCTTGTATATTTGGTAAGACTCCACCTTGAGCTATTGTAACTCCACCCAATAGTTTGTTCAACTCTTCATCATTTCTAATAGCTAATTGTAGATGACGTGGAATAATACGAGTCTTCTTATTATCTCTAGCTGCATTACCGGCCAATTCCAATACTTCAGCAGCTAGATATTCTAATACTGCTGCCAAATAAACTGGCGCACCAGCTCCAACACGTTCAGCATAATTGCCTTTTCTTAACAGTCTGTGAACACGACCAACAGGAAATTGTAATCCTGCACACCGCCAACTGATAGGCAATTACATCCAAGTGACGAATCCCAAACGAGACGGAACGTGCGTCTTCGGCCCCACTGTTAGCCGTTCTCCACCATTACTATCAAATAACTAATTTTACGCATTGAAATTGATATTATGCGTGAATGATGAGTCAATTAAAACCTCTTGAACTGCGTTATGCAATGGTATCATCAAATAATCTTTCAGTGAAGTGTTTTTTTTTTGAAATGATATGGCCAGTAATGCTTGTTTTAGGTCCCCACTTACATTTCTTTGGTATATTATAATAACACGAAGAAACATCGAATACACTTCACTTATAAGTACCAGTAGACACGAACCCTAGGGTGAAACATCATATGTACGCTATTCTGTAGTTCATATAGGTGTAAGTCATAAACTGTCGTTTTCCTTGAAAATGCATAACCTTTCGATGTTTATCAACATCAAGTGAAAACATTTAATTGAGTTACACTGAGACTGCAAATTAAGTGTAAGTAGAAAACGGATGTATGATGGAACCAAGATGTATCCAAGGGAAACATATGCCTTGGGACGTCCGACAACACCATACTTGTAATCAAACGTTCTGTATAGCTGTATTAGAAGATAAACAACTTCCGAACAATAATATCGAGTAAGATGATAAAAAAAGGTATGCGCATTAAATGAGGTCGGAAATTTTTCGACAGCTATCTGTTTCCAACTATCCATAAATATGTCAGCCACAATTGGGGATATTGGTGATCCCACGGCAACTCCTTCTGCTTGTTTGTATATTTTATTCTGAAACCTAAATATAGTGGAAGTTAGGCATGATGTACTCCTAGCACGATATCACCTACTGGTACCTCAATGAGTAGTATAAGCTCATTGTCATTATTAAGCTCGTTTCTAACTGCCTCCAGAGCCATGCCAATCGGTATATTGGTAAACAAACTAACTACATCACAACTAACCGTTTTTTCATCGTCATCTAAATCTATATCATCCAATCTGTGCTTCAAGTCATAAGAGTTAGTAAGCCTTGATTTAGAACGGTTTCCAATTGGACCTAGTACCATCGCTAAATATTTAGATAAGTCATAAGTAGGAGTGTTTCTAAAGTCTACTATGGGACTAATAGGATAACCTGGTTTATGAATTTTAATCGTACCATAAATCCTACTGGGATTATTAGTTTTCGCCATCAAATTAAACCATTTCGACTCACCTAGAAACGTCTTCATTCAATGTATAAGATCCACCGTGGTTATTTTAGCCTTATTCATAATAGTGTCCATTGGTTTCTTAATTTCTTCGTTTGGTTGATTTCTATATGTTCATTGACTTTCTGAGTTTAATCAGACTTATTTAACACTACTGATTATTTATGTGCAACGGATATACGCCAAAGATATACACACCATCAGCCACTCGAGTGCAACTACATCCGGCTGGCAAATCCCAGATGAGACGAAACGTGCACCCTAAATTCCACCTTTAGCCATCAAATAAACTATAACCTAGTGAATATTCAGGATCGAATAATTCGATCTAACACAACAACGGGAGATTAATTAAAAAATACTCATACTTTCTGCTAAATAGGTATCTGTCGTACTTCATTGGCCTAGTGGATAATACCTTGGCGTTTGAAGCGATAGGTATATGATTCAAGTGTTTATTAGAACACCACAATTCACTGGGGTAAACGTATTCTCAGCTGCAGAGTCCTAGATAAGGCGAAACGCTCGTCTCCTTCTTCTTCTCTATTATACAATGCAATACCCTATTATCTCTATTGTTATGCAATTGCCATATTTTTATTGAAAGTTATCAAGATGAGATAAAGTGCAGATAACTTTTACTGTTATCTGGAAACAAAAGTGTACGCTTAGAGAAGCTGAAATGTCACTTGATAACAAAATGACTTTATATACTGCACTTATTTATATCCTTCATTGACTTCATTGATAAAACTGAGACTATAGAGGATCGGTTTGTTTGTGATCAGTACGGTGAAAAAACCAGTTGGATGTATCCTTCATAGCTGAGACTAGAGATTTGTAAAACGTATATTCAAAATGTACTAAAGTGTTTTGATTATCTTACTCGATTATGAAAGTCTTTGAATGGAAAATAGTAATGAAATCATGTTTCTGAGACCTCTAGAAGTGTAAAATGGGTCACGGGTTCGAATCATAGTCCACGTATTGTGGTTTGGCCAACCAGATAATGTTAGTAGTTCTCCTCAAACAACAGATGTAGCTCGTCACCCACTGGACGAAAATGTACAAGCATGTTGATTGCGTTTCGCTTCTACTTTTGTTTTGAAAGTAAAGACTTTTTTGTCAGCATAAAATCCGGTCACTCACTGTTTTATCAAAGAGAGATGTCAAGATGTTTGTTAGATATGTAACTCGAAGCATTTGTTGAACCACCGTTTAACTCTGATGCAGCCTACATATGATGTATGCACACATTACGTGATATCATTGACAGTAGTGGTAAGCGTTGACAATCAACTAGTACAGAAGTTCTGAAGAAATTAACAATGCACTTTGAGAGTGAATGCAGACGATAAGGAAAAGAGACCTAAGCAGAATTCATCGGTGGAGTAGAACATGAATTTAACGATTACTATTCAGTCATCAGTGTAATTCTTCAAACCCTTATTCCTGAAGTTGTTCCACATCATGAATTGATAAAACTCTTAAGATAAGAAATACTTCAACGAAGAAATCTGTTGTTGGCGATATTATCATCAACAGCTGTACAGTCGCATTCATGTTGGTATTTATCATGGACTGACATCAGTTGGAGAAACATTAGAAATGCCGGGGCACTGGATAGATGTTTCGTTCTAGGACGGGACTCCTCAGGAGTGCGCACACATGACTCCGCCAGTGATCGAACCCAGGACCTTCGGTTCCCGTGGCCAACACGTTGCATCGCGGCCGTGAGGACAAATATTCAACAATGATATTGAGTGATAATCGAGCTATGTCGTGAATTGACAGAAGTTGGAAATATGGACCACTGGATTCTGGCCAGCTCGATCAATGGTAATGTGCTGGCCACGGAACCTGAAGACCGTGGGTTCGATCACTGACCACGTCAGGTCATAGGTGCACACTTCTGAAGAGACCCATACCAGGGCGAAACAGCTGTCCAGTGTTACCAAGTATCCACTGTTTCTCCAACTGATGTTAGTCTGTGATAAATACTAACTTCAATTCATACTAGTTGATACTGGGTGATGATGGAAGGTGAAATGAAGATTTGTACTGAGGACAGATTCAAACCGGCGACCACGGGGTTACCGACCAGGTGCTGTACCAACTGAGCTACGAGGTCCGAGTGCTGCCCAGATTCTTATTTCACCTCATTTTGAATTTGAATGAGATGGTACACCTACTGAAGTTGAAATTTTTCGTTGAAGTCTTTCCTATTTCATGTATCGATGATAAACGGACACATAAAGGGATAGACAAGATCAAAATGGAACCACACACACACACACACACACACACACACACACACACACACACACATATATATACACACAAATCCATCGCTTCAAGTTGGCACACATCACAACAACACACAAAAAACAAGTGGAAAGGAATGTAGACAAATATGTATAGGAGGAGAGAGAATTTATAAGCTGAGGTGAGTCAAAAGTATTCAAGCTTACGAGGACGTCAAGGAGTGAAAACACCTGCACCACTGTGACAGATTTTCAGGCATGTCACCAACAGTCTTCAATCACTGATTCCTCTTGTCTCTGGGACTGCAACCAGGTTGTCTACAACTTCCCAAGCGCCTCAGGTCAACAATGGGAGACTTGATTCACTAGTGTCACGTATTGGTCAGGCCATCCTGAACCCTTTTCCAATGGAATTCAACTTTTTTAGCAGTAAACGTCGAGGAAGTCGTTGGCCCAGTATGCCCGACACTTGTCAACACCCCATGTCTTCAGTAACACTCAACTAACAATTTCACAAGGGTTAACATTGGAAAGTTCCTTACCTCACTACAAGAACACATAGACCTGTTGGATAAGGCCTCTGAAACTAATTTAACTTCAATCTTGCTTTTCGAACTACAATGTGTCTTTGTATGCCCATTACATAAAACCTAAAAATCTATGCCTGGTACTATTCTTTAGATGATAATAATATCCAAATATGCTAATGAACAAATCAAGCAATTAGAAACCACACTGGCTGGTCTGTCGATTTCTCCAGACAAATCACAGTCATCTCATCATCCTACTTAGAGTATACTAGTCCGTGCATGTCAACTTGCCAGCTTCAGATGATCTGAACTAATTAGACTGTATGAGATGAATTTCTCAGGGTACATCGTTGATCAGCTCGACCCCAAATGAGCAGTTTAAATCCCTCTGATTTGGTTGGTTGGCGAAATACTACAGATCAGCCTGAATGCTTTCTAACTACTTAGTTTGTTCAGCAGTAGTATCTTTCGCTAGTTCACAACACTTTCGTGTCAGAGATGTCACCTTATGATCTCGACTGACAGGTGGTTTCCAGAGGAAACCCTATTGACACTACAGTTGAGCAGCTGAAAAACTGCTCAAAGCTGACAACGTGAATTGTGCACTTTCAAGTCGTTTGCAAATAGATCACCTTCCATGATTCCATTAGGTTTATGGAGATTTATTTATCCATTTCAGGTTGATATTCATCATAAAATGACATCAGTTGAAGCACTGCACACCTGTTTCGTCCTATTATGAGACTCCTCAGTATACATGACCCCCCAAGGCTCGAGCCGAAGACCTTCAGGTCCCGCGGCCAGCGCGTCATGACTGGACCACTGTCACTTCGACGCAGTGCTGACCGTGAAACACGAGTTCATCCCCTGGCCTAACGGGATTATTTGCGCACACTGCTGAGGAGGCTGACACAAGGACGAAATAGCTGTACAATGTTCCGGCATTCCCAATGTTTCTCTAACTGATGTCAGTCCACGATAAATACCAACCTAA